TTTTTGCTCCCCAAAACATGGTCAATAGGTGGATCCTAATGCATAGGGTCTGAGGAACAAGTCTTTCCCCCACCTAGATGACTGGTATGAAATCTTCGGGAAAGACAGAGCCTCTGGCGCCGATGCCCAGTCTTTCGGAGACGCGGCCCAGGATGTCCAACAGGACACGCCTTATGAAGCATACGATGACATCACATTGCAGCCCACACAGCACACAGCAGGTAATGGTAGCCCGGTCAATGACGTCGGTCAGTCGTCGGGTGCGGCATCTGAAAGTACCTCCAGGAGAGGGGGAAGGACAAAGGGCACAAAAAGGAGGTCCACTAACTTGATGGAAGAACGTTTCATCGATGTTATGGAGACCTTCTCGCAGAACACGGATGGCCGGTTGGCTGAAATCGCTGCCAGAATGGCCAACGAGCAAGCGGCACAGGTTCAAGCGGCACAAGCTCAGATGACCGAAGTAAATGATGCGCTTCGTACTTTCCACTTTCTATCCGGTGAGGAGCGAATGGCTATCTGTCTGCGTTTGTGCAACAATGCTAGAGAGCTTGCTATGTTCATGGGCATGGGCCAAGAAGATAGGGCGCTCATGGTTAGGGTCATGCGTGATGGGCGGGGGTAGTGTTTGTAATGGAAAAATGTTTTGTTTCTTGAGGTTGTGGTAACGGTATTATGTTGAGGGAACTCTCTGAACTTTTGTTGTGTGATTTTGTGCTTTTGTGGTGAACATGTTTTGGATTGAGGATGATTGTGCACAATACTGTGGATTGTGTGTTGGGTTGAAATACCCATTATTTTGTTTGATGAGATGTTGAAAATTCCAAGTTGTTTGTATAATGGTCAAGTTCTTTTGCATGGAATGGTCTTACATTGGTTATCCTTATTCATGAAATGGTTTATTATTGTTGTTATAATACACTTTTAATCGCTCGACGCAAGTTCACCATGTTTGTCTATAGGGATGATCCGCCGTGGGGGTGTTTCTATATACTTATGGACATGCCAAACGAACCCACACTGGTAAGTTAAAAATTCTCACTTCGACCATTGAAGCAACATTCATTAGGGCAAACTTTAATTTGACATGCTACATGTGAAAAATAATGATATAAAGGATTGAGAAATAATTTTATATTTTTTATTAATTTTAATAAATAATTTTATTATTATTATAAATATAAATATAATTTATTTATTTATATTAACAATATGGTTGTAAAATCAAAGCTCATCAAAAGATGATTAATTTGATATATTATAAGTTTCAAAAAACACCAAAAAGATAGGGAACAAAAAAAAAAATAAAAAAATAGAAAGATATACAAATAATTAAATTTTGGTGTCCAATTTTTTAATGCTTACAGTTTAAAGTTCTTTATTAAATGCTAGGTTAGTGTCAAGTGTCGTTTTTTTGTGTGTTGACACTTTCACTTTCTTAGGACATAGACGTTGCGGCACCTTATTTTGGGCGACACGCGATGCCTTTTCCTGTTACTCTGATAACGGTTGAGGGTCGTCGCTACCCAATGGACATAATAAAGGTTCCATCTGGGCTGGATTAGGACCCAAGGACGTTTTTGTGTTTTGCCAATGGGTGGCAGTATTATGCTCAATCAGAGGATATACGCAACGACTACTACCTCTACTTTGAACGAGATGATTTTAGAACATTCAATGTCAAGGTCTACACGGCTAACGATATTGAAAGGCCTCCGCAGCACCGGTTTAGCATAAAAATAAAAATAAAAACTCATGTGGAGCGTGCATTGTTGGTAAGTGATTGCTTCATGATTTAACATCATTTTTTTCGTCTACATTGTTCTTGCATATTTAATAAAATGTTATCATATTTAATATTTTTTTCCCTGTTGTGAAGCCAATACCAATGCAATTTTGGAACGCACACATTGAAGGACAAGTTCCAGAGATAGACAATGCAGTGCTTATGTTGAAGGGGGAAACATATTCGATGTCTATAGACCGAACTCACAGTAAGAGGCGCCTTAAAGATGGCGAGATGCGCCAATTCTTTGAAGAAAATGGCATTGTGGAGGACACGGAGTGGGTGTTTACGTTGATTCCATTTAGGTATCCCCAGTTTAGAGTGGTCGAAATTTGTGTGTAGCATGTATGTGAACGACGAATAATTGAACACTTTTTTTGCGATGCTTGTTGGTCGTTGATGTCACATTATTTTCCGACATTGTGTGTTAAACGTTTTTTGTGTTTATGAAGACAATTTTCCTGCTTTCTCTCATGTTGTGATTGAAATATTACGGGTATGTAAGAATTGTGGGTTAACAGTTTTGTAGTTTATTGTGACAATTTATATGGTTTCTATCTTATTTTGAATGAAACATTACGGGTACAACACCGAAACAATGGAACACAACACCAAACATAAGTAACATTACAGACATTTGCTCAATGGAAAGCACGGGTACATCTTGTGAACGGAACGACTACATAACAAACAATTAGGAACATTCAGTAACATATGGGTACAACACCGAAACAAATAACAAACATAGTAAAGAACCATTAAACAAACAACCAACCACAACTAACATACTGATACACCACCGAAACAAGAACAAACATAGAAGGGAAAGATATAGTGATGAAGCTAATTCCACGGCCAATCATGCGCGTAGTCCATAGGAGTGGCGGAACAGGCAGTGGATACTGAATTTTCTTCTGGTTCATGTGCACCGTGAGAGGAGATGTCGTTTCTAGGCTGATTCACAGAGCCATCAGTTGAACCGGTTTGACTGTGTATGGATTGCTTCTTTTTTGGGCCCTTTGAACTGCTACCCATATAAAAGACCGGACGCGGTGGTTGTTTCTTAGCTCTTGGAGGGATGTCAGTTCGAACGGGATAGGGAACTAACCTACTCGGTGGCAGACGGTTTGGAGGGTACTCCTCCAAATCGATAACTTCAACACCTTTGCCACGGCTCTTACTGCCCTTCTTCTTGTCTTCGTCTTTGCTGTCAGAAATGATACACCACTGGAGAGGATTTACGTACGGTGGCTCCTCGTAAAACAACTCCACAAGTTTGTTGTGATGTGGATCACCTTCCGTCATGTACGCCAGGGAAAAGTCATTCCACTACGGGAAACATAAAATATAAATTAGATTGCAACTCTTGTGAAGAGGTATAACAAATGAAAACGCTTTTATTTTCGGCAAAACTCACCCTTAGCATTTCATCCCAAGTGCTGCCCGAAGCATGGTACTTGTTCTGGCCGACGTCGTATTGAACACCAGCCTTGTCTTTTAGAGCCGTGAAAACTTCATGTCGTTTCTCCAAAACTCCAACTCGTATTCCGATGTATTCCATCGTGAAACTCTTGCTGAACCACGCATTGAATGCTCGCGTAGCACCAAGTATGGACTCAGTATTATCTGCATTAGGAACAAATATACCACATAGCTTATCTTCAAGTAAGTAGTTTATAAGGAAGTCATCAAACTCTAGTGTCCAATTTAGGTCGTATAAATAGTCTGCCTGCACTAAACCAAAATCAGGAGCCATCGCAAATTTATGACTTAGAAATTTTTTTGTTTTTTATAACTTCGGCAATAGTTGACTACTTCCTTCAATGGTTGTGGAATACTTAGTATGTGTTATGGTGTTTAAATAGAGAATTTTCGTGAACCAGATCAATCATGCATTCAATGGTTGGACCAATGGATATGGTCTTCTTGTCTATTCAATGCAGCTTTGCAGAAATAGCTGAAAGCTATATGAAGACATGTGTAGGTGAGTTGTCATTACATGTCCCTTCGAATCTAAAATTATTGACCAAAAACATGACTCGAGTGGTCACTTTTGTGTATTGCGCATGCAAAAAGACGACCAATAATGCGTGTAATTTATTTAAATTGCAGATGCTGCCAAAGACCTATAAGTTTAGCTTTGCAAAAAACCTGAAGCATAGCCTTAGACCTGCATTGAATTGTATTTGTGCACATGTCCTGTGAATGCAAATCACACATTTCAAAACACACATGTCCTAACAAGTCAAAAGCTTGCGAAGACATATCCGTTCAGCTTTGCAGAAGAGCTGAAACCTAGCCGTAGACATGCTTTGCTCTGCATTTGTACACATGTCCTGTCAATTCACAACACACATTTCATATCTTTACATGCATGATTCCACGGAATTGAATTCAAAACACACGTCCTGTCAATTCAAAAGCTGGTTCACAAAAGTAGTTTCACAAAATATTTAAGTTATTGTACAAAACATCAATGGAGCACAACAGCAAAGTTCATCTATCCATCCTTACTTTGAAAAAAATAAAAAAATACAGTGAAACAAAGCAAACAATGATCCAAAATGTAGACTTCATGAATGTGACCTTCTCCTCCAACTTTCGAGCTTGACGGACAACATCATCAAGTCTCGACTGCAGTTCAACTTTTTCTGTTGCTGCAATCTCCAAATCAGTCATCATCCGATTCTTCGCATCTTCTAGTGCTTTGATCTCGGTAAGTTTTAACTCCAACCTCTCCGATAGCAATTTCTCCATTACTGTTTTGCACATTACTTGCTCTTGCAACCTCTCCTTGTCAGCCTTCAGCTTGTTGAAACAACCCTTTTGGAACGGCTGCAACTCGGGATCAATCCACTCAAATAGGCGACAAGGAGGATCGGGCTGTGAACAATAAACATTTACCAGAGGCAAAACTTCGTGTACTATAAAAACCACGACTTCAAAACATATTAAATCAGACCAGTGAACTATAAAAACTTTACCTTCCGGCGAGGACATTTCAAAAACCTTCGGGCTGGGTTTTCAGGGGTCATTGATGTCAACACAACGGCTTCTTCGTCATGTTCACACAACCTAACCTCAAACGGGGTAGAGGCCCTGTTATATCAATTGGTTGAACTCGTGTCAGAAGTATTTGACATGTTGCTTGCCTGAAGAGAAGAATAAGATAATAATGGTCAAGGCGCAAGTAATCCACATGGTAAAGTTTGAACTATTGGACGATACAGATTGGAGATGGGAACTGCCACCAATATGAGCATGAAAAATATGATATTACCATAATTTTAAACACATTAAAGCACAACATGTACTTGTGTATTTCTGTAGCCATTATTGCTACAAAACTTATGTTTATAAGAAAAAAGTTGAAGTTAGTATCCCATAACTAAAGTCCCCACATATGCAAAACAGATTCATCTTAAAGCAAATACTTTAATCTCTCAGAACTAAAGTCTCCACATATAACTCAGCAGCACATGAGGTAAGAGGTAATAGATAGGTCATATGTGCACTGTACCATATAAAAACATACAAGTTTGGCCTTTCGATTTTAATAACATTCTTGAATTACCTAGCTAAGACAAGTCTGGACTTTCGATTTTAATAACATTCTTGAACTACCACATATAAACATACATGTTTGGCCTTTCGAGTTTAATATATGTACATGAGTTCATTTTTTCAACTCATTTACACATTATTGTTGAAAATAAATCTAAATTTCAGCTTCAAAAAATAAGCTTCAAACTAAGACAAAGCAGCAAAACAAGAGAGAAGCCTTTCATTTCTCTAGGCTTTTCTTTATTTCAATCACTTATCATCTTATCAGCATAATATAATCATGTTAAACCCATGGTAAAAAACTTCACCAACAACAACAACAAAAAAAAATGTCATTTAAAGAGAACAAGAACAACAAGGCAAGGATATGGGGCAGCCTCAAAACATGTCCTTCCTCAATTTATTGCACAGTTACTCATAACCAGCTAGCTTAAAACATGCTCCTAATACAGATTAGAAATGCAAAGCAAACATATCAAAATTAAGAGAATGAAACAGACCCAATCCAATCAGCAACCAGTATAACTTTCTTCTATCAGTAACCAATCACCAAAGTAACTCATAATAACTTACAAATCGAAATCAAAATCATCCAATTCAAAAACAGAACCGCAAGAATTAGGGCAGCCTCAAAATCACCACAGTAACCCATTACTTTTTTCAATTAGCAGTTGGAAAATTAAGAACTTAGTGATAGTCGGGCTACAACCCAACATCATCTGTTTGAGGGCTACAAGTTATAAATTGAAAGAATTAGTGCAGTTGAAGGACAAATCCCGAATAGCTTCAATTTGTAACTAAGACATTTTATTTGTTGAAACTGAGACATATAGCTTCAATTTGGTCATATAGCTTTATTGACGGTTTAAAATTTAGACAAAATAATGTTGAAACTGAAACCCTAGATCGGATGAAATGTCCTAGATCCAATTTATAAGAAATTTAATCAAACTCATACAATGTTGTTCACAGCATTGAGATTATACAATCGAACGAAAAATGAGAAAAAGTCAAAAGTGAAAGGTAAAACAATATACAACCTGGAAAGTGTTCGCCGGAAAAGGTCCTACCTCTCACAGCACGGCCGTCGGGGTTAATGGTCCTGGCTGTCGGAGGGACGTCGTCCACGGTGGTATTCAAGTGACCGCGGCTTCTCGTTGGGAGTGAAGGTGTCGCCTCTCGTTGAGAGTGAAGTGTCTTAGCTGAATTAGGGCAAACAGATGAATGAATTGAATGTCGAGGAAGAAGGTCCACATTCGGTTTTTAGTTCCAGGGGTAGTGGAGTCTTTAACATCTTTATCAGGAAAATTAATCCTTGGAAGTAAATGGGGGATTTTTTTAGACAAATCCCGTCCCGAAAAGTAAACAAGGTATTAAATGATGATGTGGAAAGGGGTCTTGATTAAATTGTCTTATCCCATCCCGAAAAGTAAACGTCCCCTCAGGAAATATGTCCAAAGAAACCCAATTAATTTCAAGTGCAAAGCAATTAAATCCTAATCCTTGTTTGACTGCTGCTTTTAAATAATTCCAAGCCCATTCTTGCATAAATGTCCCAGGACTCCAAGTGGTTTTAAGGGCCCCACTCTTCAAGTCCATCAATTATTTGCTTATACAAGCTCACATCAAAATCTGTGCTTATGGGCTAAATTGACAGGTAGTAGAAAGGTCCAATAATTTATCTCGTACACTTCCATCCAATATTGCATCGTCCATGAAAACACTCTAATATTCTGAAAATAAACATAAAAATATCAATGTATATGAATCCACTCAAATAATAAATAAGTCAAAAAATATAAATGTGCGAATAAACTAAGTGTATAAAAATACACTATTAAATTTATAAAACATGCACATTTTCCGACCTATCAAATCTCCCTAAACTTAAATCGTTGCTTGTCCTCAAGCAACTGAGAACTATAAGCACAAAGATGGATCAACAAGTACGTGGAATATTACTAAGGGCCTCACAATTTTTCACATAAGTGCATAGTTCAAACAACTCAAATCAATATATTCGGACTCAAGATGAAATCAATTTTAAGAACTCAAACAATCAAGTATCAATTCAAGTGACCATCATAGTTTGTCAACCTTTATAACGAATGCACCGATCAATGCAACTAATGGCACCCCTCCCTTTGCTAACAAGTCAACTTCCCTTCCGTTTTTAGCCGAAGTCTAAATGTCTCATCCTCCACACTCGTTTTTTTCTCTTTTTTTTTTCTTTTTTTTTTTTAAGTAGGGAACGGCAGCTCCGTCACAACCCATGGGTTTTAGCCTTTCGTGCTCGTCTAGATACGGAAATTATTGGAATTATACACTAGAGCCCCCACAGATTGGCAGCTGTTGCAGCCCATGCTCTTTTTTTTTTTTTTTTTTTTTTTTGTACCAAACGGCTTTTCGACTCCACCAATTATTCCTCCATCCTCATTATTCTTTTTTTTTTTTCGACTATGAGACATAGAAACCCCAACTTTCAACTTCAAGTCCCCAAACTTAATCAACATTGATTAAGACAATCACAAACACATCTCAACAATACAAATCGCCTCAAAACCAACTCACCACAAATAAATCACAAAAATATCAACCATCACGCCTTTGTCCCCAAAATAAAAACCTCAAGAATTTAACCAAATAAATATAACTCAAGCCATTTAAACTAGCACAATAAATCTAATCCGACTCTCATATCATCATCGCAAAATTCCACATACATGCAATCTCATGCTCACACAAGAGAAAACAAATATCATGCAATCTAAGAATTCAAACTCTAAGGGGTAAAAATACAATGACATAATAAATCATGAATGCTCACCAAGAAACCACCTACCCAAACTTAGAGTTTGCGTATATCATCGACACTCAAATAACACATAAGAGCAAAAATAGAGGTAAAAGAAACGAGTTCACCTTAGTCAATGCAGGTGAAGGTCGACCAAACCACGCACATCATTGGGTTGCCTCCCAACAAGCGCCTCTTTTTATTGTCGTTGGCCCGACTTATTACTCTCTTTTCATCAAAGGATCCATGGAGGCTTCGGAGGTGGCCTCAAGGGAGGCAAAAATCTCACAATGCCATGCTTGACGACATCCCCTCTTTCCAGCGTTGGATGCTTCACCGGATCTTTCCTCCATGACGCTAATTCCTCAAGTATGTGTAGCAACCCATGCTCGATCACGGTCACCGCCTCAACAAAATCCCATTCACACCTTTCGTTTTGCTTGATTGTCTCAAGAGAAGGTATATCAAGGTCCAAGACATACTTCAGTGCATCCTTGCTCAGTACCCATGTTGTAGCACAAATTATTATTTTACCGAGTACCGAATCGAAGGATTCGTTCCCCGGGTCGATCTCTCAAGGAAGGCGGTTCAGAATTTAGCTTCGGTATTGATTTCACACAAAAAGAAAATAAATCCTAAACACACTAATCAGATGGCAGATTGGATGAATTATTAACTAAGAAATAAAATAAAACAATAATCTACCTAAAAATATAAACGGAACAAAGATGGAAAAGCTAGGGAATCGGGGATAATTTATTCAAGTTCTTAGCAAAAACCGGGCAATCAATAGTTCGGTTCGAGATTGACACTCTCGCTTAAACATCTAGCGGTTAGCTCCCAATAACTCTTCGTAACGAGGGATTGAACATAGACGAACAAGCTCGAGCATACAACACAAGCCAATTATCCCAATCCCAATAACTTTTCGTAACAAGGGACGGGTCATTGACAAGCACGTATTTCAATCTCAACTCATAGATTATTCAGTTACGAAATTATCTATCTCATACAACGCAAGCCTAGGTCTACAACTTCTCCCCTTTCGGTTCTAAAAGTCTCTAATTAACTAGAAGGTGATTAATCAACTAATCATATAGAATTGACAAACCCTAACTCGACAAATTAGCATTCAATTTTTTCCAATCGCAAGATCGAAGTGTCACTCTTCGATTATATCAATCAATCAAGCACAAATTCATCAATTCTGAATTATATCAACTCACATAAGCATGAACAAATCAAGCCCGACAAATACGAATCAAACAAGAATAATCATCCCCTATCCCTAGCAGAAGGAATTAGCTACTCATCACAAATTCAACATCAACATTCATATCAAGCAAAGCCATAACATTCATCAATGAAATGAAAGAGAAGCTTACGATTAATAACAAATCCAATGTCGAAAAACAACAAGCAATCCAAATCCAAGGGTAAAATCTTGGAGTTTTCACTATCCAAGATCAAAACTATGAGAAAAGATGAGAGAAATATGCTTTGCCATGAAGAAAAAACGAGTACCAAGTCTGAGAGTACTGAAAATATGCCCTAGGTTCGAACTAGTAGCCTTCCCAATTCAAAACCCACAAAAAACGCGATTAGTTAAAAATAGACCTTAGCGCCACTAACCCCCTTTTTTTTTGCTGTGAAGTCTCTGGCGTCTCTAGCACCTCGCTAAGCCAAACCGCCGCTAGTTTTCACACTCTTAGCGCCGCTAACCCCTTAGCGGCGCTAGGGTCTGGGCAGCTTCTGATTTTTAGTTTTTTGGGCTCGTGGACTCTCGGCTAACATCTCTCGGGTCTTTCCCGAGCTAGAAAGTCAATTCTTTGTTGTTTGGTGGCACGAACTGGAACGTAACACTTGGGAACCGGAACGACCTGAAACACCAAAACCGAAAGATAACACGAAAAGCAAGGGAAATAGAGATAAAGGCAAAGAAAATACTAAACACATCAAAATAAAGGTAAAACACGAGAAACGACTAGACGGACCGGTAACACCTAAGAAACGACCTAAAACGGGGGGAAAAACACGCAAAACATAAAAAAAAAATAGCAACAAAAATGGGACAAACAACTCCCCCACACTAAAACCTTTGTTCGTCCCGAACAAAAAGAAAAGAAAACAAGGCCTGAGCATGAATACGGTTTCATACAAAAAGAGCCTCAAAAATATTTAACTCAACCGGGTTGAATTCCAACGATCGTACGACCATATGCCTCAAATATCAACTTGGCCTCGAACTGACAAACTCTCAAACACAGTAATATTAGTGTATGCCTCACTCATTCTTTTACATGAATATATGACAGGTTCGCTCAGATTGGTCAATATTCAAGTTTCAACATATGCTTGCCAATCGTTTAAATTACTCAGAAACAATCAAAGCTCAAAACTTGCGAATCAAGAGGACTTCACGGGTTGTAATGTAGGCTATTTGGTTCAAGGTATGGATATATATAAGGACAAGAAGCTCAAATATTCAATCAGGGTTCTCGAGTATGCTCAAGCATTCCACTACTCATCCGGAATCAACGAGACAAAACACTTACTATCCAACCAACATTCCACAAACAACACATAGATTCTCAGAACAAGTTGCAACATCGTCACTTAACCTTATTATTCTTTTTTTTTTTTGAAGAGTAACTTTTTCCGAACAACAACGAATCGAAAGGACAACATTCTGTAGGTTTAAACATTGGTGGTCATCCAAGTGTCCTACAGTAGTTTCCTAATGCTCACTACCTGTCAAAATGAATCGACTAGTAAGGGGAGCAGAATCCATTTGATTCGTCCTGTGAGTTCTTATGTTTTTTTTTTCTTTTTTTCAATAGAAATCCAACTCCAATTCACCTCATTCAACAACAACACCATTTTCACCAATCATCACAAAATCAGTCAACAAAATACATTATATGCATGGCTGACAAGAAAAGGCTCAAGGCTCAAACGAGCTACTAGGGATAATAACGTTTAGGATCAAAGAACAAGGCTAAAGAGAGCTAATCAAACAAAACGCATCAATCACTTTCGCAATTTCAAACTCTAATCGATTCCTTTCAAACAAACTCAAGGCAAGTTCAAATCATTCAAGAATATGACCTATATCTCACAAGAAAGAAGAGTAAGGATCAAAACCCCACAAGGTAAATAAATGTCACTCAAAGCAATCAAGCAAATATCGAGGCAATGATCAACACAACCGTCATCAAAACTTCTCAATTTCATCAGACATTCATCAACAAATCCTATAATTCACCAATACCACATGCTCAACAATACAAAAACCTAAAACTAGACCGGTCTACCATATAAGCATGCAAAAATCCGAATAACTCCCCCACACTTAAAATGAGGCAATGTCCTCATTGCTTCAACACAAAACAGGAAGTCAAAT